GGTGGAAGTGGCGCATTGTCGGTAAAACAGTCAGTCGGTCAAAAATAAGCCCGAATGCCTTCCTGAGTATTTTTATTGGTGTTCTCAGAGCAACATGGATGGCCGGCCCCGAAAGGTGCGTTTGCGGGGAGCACGCAGCATCTTTCCCAGACATGCTTATTTCTTGCAAGGAGATGAGAGCGAGCATATGTTTGCTTCTGAGTTCAGGCCAGGTTGGACCCGATTTATATCTGGAAAAGCCAGGGGTTGATTCAAGAAGCAAACCCGGCCTGCGGATTGGAGGACTCGGGGGCTGGGGAAAGCAGCATGAGGGGACTGAGGATCAAACCCTGCCCGCTGAGGAGCTTGGCGTGCAGCTCCAGAGCGCTCTCTGCTACGGGGATGTGGAGGAAAGTTGGAGCTGGACATAGTACCGGTGGCAGGTGGGAAGGCCGCTTTGTGCACAAAGAAATTCAGCCACGGAGGACCGTTCCTTCGCATGGAGTCCAAGCAGCTGGGCCTTGAGCTCAGGTGAAGACGTGAGGGCACAGGATTTATTTTTAGTGGCATTTTACCGCAGAAAGAGGAAGGATGGGTCTGTGGTTAAGGCACTGGACTAAGACGCACAAGGTCTGTACTCTGGGTTCATTCCTGTCTCTCCGCCACAGGCTTCCTGTGTGACCCTGGGCAAGTCACTCTCTGGGCCCAAGGGGATAGGGGATAAGCACCATTATCCGTGCTTTCCCTATCTTGCCTGTTCACAATGCAAGGCCTTCATGGAGGAGACTGCCTGCCTCTTGCTATACAAGAGGGGTCTTCTCGGCACAAAAACTTAAGAACAGTCATATTCCAAGGGCAGCAATCGGTCCCTTAGCTTTGCGGTCTTCTCCTTCCCAAATAAAGGCCTGGGGAGGGGAGCATCCAGCACCCTGGGAAGAGAAACGCGCACGATGGATGGAATATTATTATAAGAGCTCTGGTTGCCTGATTGATTTCCAGAGCTAATAAATCCTTGGCTGTGCTCGCCGCATTGAAATATATGCCCAGGCAAGATTCATGATCTGCTCTCAGGAAAGGGAAGAGTGAGAAAAAATGGCCCGACCAAGATTAAGTGCTTTAAATTTGGCAGCTCTAATTGTTTTATTAATAAACCTTTTATAGGGTTACATTATTTATTACTTCTAATTAAACAGCTACCTACTAGACTTAAACAAAGGAAAGAAGCAGTTGGGGAAATCGGGACAAGTGCTTGCTTCTAGAGCTCGTTACTCACGTGAGAGTCCTAATGCCCGGCGAGTCGTGCTGGCCTGGCTCTCCGTGCGGGGAGGACGTCCCCCCGGAACAGCAGAAGCCCTGTGCATCGCTTAGCTCCTCGTGGGTTCAAAGTGTGGGACTTGTGCTCGGTCTGCACGGGGCTGAACATCACTGTAGGTCCGTGGTCCTGTCTTTCCCATCCTCTGCAGGCAGGTGACAACAGGAAAAGGTTTTATCATTCAATCACAGACAATGAGGGTGGAAGGGACCTCAGTGGGTCGCATCTAATCCAACCCCTGCTCCAAGCAGGACCAGCCCCAACTCCATCATCCCAACTAAAAGCTCTTAAAAACGTCCAAGGATGGAGATCCCACCACCTCACAGGGGAACTGTCCCAGTGCTTCACCACCCTCCTAGTGAGAGAGTTTTTCCTAATATCCAACTTCAACTTCCCTTACTGCAGCTTGAGCCCATTGCTCCTTGTCCTGCCATCTGCCCCCACTGAGACCAGCCCAGCTCCATCCTCTTTGCAGCCCCCCTGCAGGGAGGTGAAGGCTGCTATTCAATCCCCCTCGGTCTTCTCTTCCGCAGATTAAATCCGCCCAGTTCCCCCAGCCTCTCCTCACCAGTCCTGTCCCCCAGCCCCACGACCATTGGACTCTCCCCAATTTGTCCACATCCTTTCTGTCTTCCCCCCTCCCCATTTTTCCTTGAAGCATCCTTGAAATCCAGATGACCCTCCAGGCCCAGTGCAAGCAGGTGGTTGGCCTCAGGGCTCTTTAGATGAAAGCTTTCAGTTTGTTTTTTGCATCTCCCTCCCCTGCGTTTGGTGGTGGTTTTTGTTTGGGGAATTAATTTCCTGCCTCCCGGGAAGACTCTCTCGGGCCTGGAGTGAAGAGGGCGGATGCAGAGCGCCCGAGGGGAGAGCCAGGCTTAGTGCAGCAGTGCCCAGCCTTTTCGCCCATGGGTTGGATGAGTAGGGTGGGCTTGGTCCGCAGGTCGGATCCAGCGCGTGGGCTGCATCCGGCACGTGGGACTGGGCCCAGTCTAGCATGCAGCATCAGACTGGCTGGGGGCTGATGCAGCCGGCGCCCCCAATCCAGCGTGCAGGACTAGCCTGGCATATAGCAGGGCCACGTCATGTGGCTCACGGGACTTAGAAATTCGGCATGGAGGAGCAGCGTCAAGGTTAATTGCCACTTCCCCTGCTGCCAAATTCCCAGACCACGTAGGCTGGATGGCGTGGCTCCACGTGGCCTCCAGGCCAGAAGTTGATCACCGCTGCTCCAACACCCAAGATCCTTTTGGGTGTTTTTTAACACGCCTTTACCTGGAATGACTGAGCAATATTTAGGATAAGTCTTAGGTAGAGTTTAGACGATGAGTTTGTCCAGGATGGTTTGGCCAGGGCTGATCCTGCCTCAGGCAGGGGCTGGGCTAGATGAGGTGCCTCCCAGCCCCGCTGTATGGACGTGCTACTGCCTGCATCTACCCCAGAGAGAGCTGACCCCCAGCACGGGTGAGAAAGACCAAACCTAGACTCGTCAGGAGAAACGGGATAGGAATATTTAAGTTTGATGTAACGGGGAAAATAGCCCCTTGCTAGAGCAGTCAAAAACGTTCCAGTTTTTTATTATTTTGGAGAGAATAAAGCACATGCTTTTCACTTCATTGGCAGTTTCCGGTGGCTTTTTTCTTCCTACGGAGATTTCATTAGAAACATATCAGCTTTGGGCTTTTTTTTTTTTTTTTTCCCATGAAAATCCCCCAAATTGACAAAGCATGAATTTTTCTCATGAACGTTTCAAACGCAGTCAACTATTTTATGTTGGGAAAAACATGTTCGCATAACGCTTTCCACTGTTTCCACTCCCGAAACGACCGGCGTGGGGGTGGGTTTGCATCCTTGCTTTACCGATCTCCGAGATAATTGTTTCAAACTTTTGTTCCAGTGGGATCTCGTTCACTCCAAAGGGAAAAAAATAATCACCATGAAGACAACGATCTTTATTAGAGAGGCTCTCGGCAGGAAGGCTTTTTTCCTAGAGAATCAACCCACGTTTTTAAAATTCGAGATGGGAACAGATTAGCTCAATCACAGAATGTACCTTGTCTAATGATTCCTCGCCTGTTTGTGCGGCTGCTTGTGGACGTTGATTTATTCATATCACACAACCGTTTAATTCTTAGTTGCCATCCTCGGTTGCAAAAAGAGGCTTAATAATATACCTAGTTGGAAATCAAGAAAAACAATCGATCGTAGCATACTGGCATGGCTTATTAAAGTATGAGCATGCCCGTAACGGAGAAACAGCGTATACCCAATGACGAACCAAGCTTGTTCCTTTGACTTCCATAATCTTTAGTTTTCAGAGCGTGAGTACTCGGGCCTGATAAAGCCCCCGCCATTGGTTATGCTTTTTTTGAATTCCTCTCCCTGTGCAATTTGGAGCGCGGTGTCTCTGGGTGATGGAGATGTCAGCGCTGAGCACAGGTCTGAGGACTCCTCCAGACACGATCGATGTCCAGTTTGCAATGTCCCTCTGGCCCGAAAGAAAAGAGTCAGTGCATTTCAGGCAATTCTTTTGGCATGCTGTGGAGTTGCTGCGTTTTATTGCCTCGAAGTCATCCATCATGTCAGCGGCGAGATTTTCGAGGCTCTGGAAGTTCAATGTGCATCATAAGGGCGAACAAAATGTTGTTTGCCGGTGATACTGCCATTCACCCGCGCTGACGGAGACATGATGTATAGTAAAAGGTGTGCTGTTTGCCGCTAGACTAATGTTTCTAAGGTCTGGATCCGAATATAAATCCCCGATGAAAGCAGCAATTAACCAACTAAGTCACTGACTTTAACGAACATACTTTATTGCATGAACGAGTTGATTCTTGCGGGCGAGTTATGCAAGAAAAACTGTACGCGCTAGCAAATGTTATCTCAGTGTTTTGTAATGCTGAAAGGACCCGATGTTTAACTAGCACTACAGCCCTCCCAGAAGTAATTCCTCATTTCTCAAGACGTGTCCAGATTTTCTACAACGCCCAGTGAGATGGCTCCTCCGAAAATATTGCTGCTATTTCACACCAGCTCTTAATCCATAAAGGCTGAGCGTTCTCGGGCTTATTTCTAGGGACTCGTTTGTGTCTCTGGTCTTAAAATTAATGTGACTCTTGATGTCATTGGCAGGGTTTTCTTTGATCAGGGCATGGCTGTGCAAAAGCTGTGCGGGAGACTGCTGCCCGGGTGTATCTGCTCATCAGAACAAGACTGATCCTTCTGGCCCGTACTGCAGCGTTGTGTCCAGCCTACCTTTATATCCTTCAAATTACCAGTCCTTTCACCTGTACCCTCCTAAAGCCGCACACTTTTGCTATGAAACACTGTTCAAATGAAATTATCCCCAAAATAAAATTGGCTCCTTTTTTTTTTTTGGTCTCAGCCTGGTGTGCCCTAAGCCTGGCAGCTTGCGATAGACCCATAACCTTTTGGGGTTACTCTCCAAAGTTGTCTGGGCCCCTAATCGCTAGCCATTTATATCGCTGCTAGTGTGCTAACCTGCCTCACTCGAAGTGAGTATATTGTCCTTTATTAAACTTTGGAAGAGACATGTTTTCATTTCATTCAGTGGGACGTGTATTCGTCCAAAGACTTTGGTAGAAAAAACTAGCAACCAAGAGTGATCTTTAAAGTGGGACGCTATCATACTTCGAGGTGTAGGGTATGCCCACCCAGAGACCTCATGCAATGCATGTTCTTCTCTTCCCAGGGCGGGTACCCTGGTTCTGGCCCAGCATCAAATGCTCCCGCCTTCAGACCAGAGGATGAGCTGGAGCACCTGACCAAGAAGATGCTGTACGACATGGAGAACCCTCCCTCGGATGACTACTTTGGTAAGTGCCACATCATGCTGAATAAATCTCACGGTGCCCCTTTGCATATTTGCCAAGGTCCATCCTGGGGAGATGTGACAAGTAAGTGCAGTGTAACGGCGACGGGGTTCGTCATGATGGATTCGTTCGGCACGCTTGGGCTGGAAGTGTAATCGTCCGTAGGAATCCCTCTGTAATTTCAGCATAAATCTGATGCTTGCTCGCTGTGTGTTTTAAGTCTTAGCAATGATGAAGTGGAATTGTTCAGTGCCTGATTCATTGTAATGCCCTCTACCAGCTGCCTCGGTAGCTACTGGTCCAACTCCATAGGGGTTCGTTCTGATTTAGGCACCAGTCAGATTGTGCTGACTCTACGCGGGTGTACGTGAGATGAGCAGGGTCCTGCAGCCTTCAGAGGGAGCTACACCAGAGCAGGATGTGGCCCGGTCTAGCTGCACCATTTTGGCTGAGGAGGGGTGAATGTCGTACACTTAGACTTCAGGAAGGCCTTCGATACGGTATCCCACCCCATACTGGTGAACAAGTTAAGAGGCTGTGACTTGGATGACTACACGGTCCGGTGGGTGGCGAATTGGCTGGAGGGTCGCACCCAGAGAGTCGTGGTGGATGGGTCGGCTTCGACCTGGAAGGGGGTGGGCAGTGGGGTCCCGCAGGGCTCGGTCCTTGGACCGATACTCTTCAATGTCTTCATCAGCGACTTGGACGAGGGAGTGAAGCGTACTCTGTCCAAGTCTGCGGATGACACAAAGCTGTGGGGAGAAGTGGACACGCCGGAGGGCAGGGAACAGCTGCAAGCAGACCTGGACAGGTTGGACAAGTGGGCAGAAAACAACAGAATGCAATTCAACAAGGAGAAATGCAAAGTGCTGCACCTAGGGAGGAAAAATGTCCAGCACACCTACAGCCTAGGGAATAACCTGCTGGGTGGCACGGGAGTGGAAAGGGATCTTGGTGTCCTAGTGGACTCCAAGATGAACATGCGTCGGCAGTGTGACGAAGCCATCAGAAAAGCCAATGGCACTTTATCGTGCATCAGCAGATGCATGACGAATAGGTCCAAGGAGGTGATACTTCCCCTCTATCGGGCGCTGGTCAGACCGCAGTTGGAGTCCTGCGTGCAATTCTGGGCGCCGCACTTCAAGAGGGATGCGGATAACCTGGAGAGGGTCCAGAGAAGGGCCACTCGTATGGTTAAGGGCCTACAGACCAAGCCCTACGAGGAGAGACTAGAGAAACTGGACCTCTTCAGCCTCCGCAAGAGAAGGTTGAGAGGCGACCTTGTGGCGGCCTATAAGTTCATCACAGGGGCACAGAAGGGAATTGGTGAGTATTTATTCACGCGCGCCTAGCCTGGGGGTCTGCAAGAGGAGGTTAGATAACCATCTAGCTGGGGTCATCTAGACCCAGCCCTTTTCCCTGCCTATGCAGGGGGTCGGACTCGATGATCTATTGAGGTCCCTTTCGACCCTAGCATCTATGAATCTATGAACATCAGGCTCAGAGGGTAGGAGGCAATGCCTCTATGTCTAGTTGGCAGCCGGTATCAAGTGGAGTGCCCCAGGGGTTGGTCCTGGGGCCAGTTGTGTTCAATGTCTTCCTCAATGACCTGGAAGATGGGATGGATGTACCCTCAGTGAGTTTGCAGATGACACCGAGCTGCAGGGAGAAGTAGTAATGGTGGATGGTAGGGCTAGGATTCAGAGAGAGCTAGACAAATTGGAGGACTGGGCCAAAAGAAATCTCATGAGGTTCAACAAGGACAAGTGCAAAGTCCTGCACTTAAGTGGGAGCAATCCCCTGCACCGGTGCAGGCTGGGGGTGACGGGCTGGGCAGCAGCTCTGCAGAAAAGGACCTGGGGGGACAGGGGACAAGAAGCTGGGCAGGAGCCAGCAGTGTGCCCTTGGTGCCAAGAAGGCTACCGGCATCCTGGGCTGCATTGGCAGGAGTGTTGCCAGCAGATCGAGGGACGTGATTCTCCCCTCTATTCAGCATTGGGGAGGCCACATCTGGAGTCCTGTGTCCAGCTGTGGGTCTCCACTACAGAAAGGATGTGGACAAGTTGGAGAGAGTCCAGCGAAGGGCAATGAAAATGGTTGTGGGGCTGGGGGACAGGACTGGTGAGGAGAGGCTGAGGGAAATGGGCTGATTGAGTCTGCAGAAGAGAAGACCGAGGGGGATTGAATAGCAGCCTTCACCTCCCTGCAGGGGGGCTGCAAAGAGGATGGAGCTGGGCTGGTCTCAGTGGGGGCAGATGACAGAAGGAGCAATGGGCTCAAGCTGCAGCAAGGGAAGTTGAGGTTGGAGATTAGGAAAAACTTTCTCACTGGGAGGATGGTGAAGCACTGGGACAGGCTACCTAGTAAGGTGGTGGCAATCTCCATCCTTGGAGGTTTTGAAGACCCAGGGAGACCAAGCCTTGGCTGGGATGATGTAGTTGGGGCTGGTCCTGCTTTGAGCAGGGGTTAGACTAGATGTGACCTCCCGAGGTCCTTTCCACCCTCATTTTCTATTATACGATGACTCTACGATCCACGTCATCCTGAGGTCCTGAAATCTGATTGATGTCCCCAACCTGAGTTTGAAAGGAAGCAAGTCCCAAAGAGCTCTGCTTTTTTTTGGAAACACCACTAACTGGCAGGAACGATGATTAGCACACAGCCCTCCCTTCTGCTGAATCCTTCCTCAGTTTTGTTCAGCTGTTATACTGTGTTAATGACCCTCTGAGAAAAAAACAGCCTTGGCTAATTATGTCTCAGAAGGGGAAAAAGAGAAGGATGATCCTGGGACACAACCCTGATCTCTAGCTGGAGGAGGATGTCTTGTCCTTAAACTTAAAAAAATCCCTTCTCCTCTTTCATATGGGAAGGTCATTGCTTTGGGTCAGGACTTGATGTGTTTTGAGGCAGGTGCTGACTAAGCTGCACCCGGTGTCTGGATGAACACAGCTGTCCACCCCGGCTGGTGGATCAAACTCACGGAGGGCAGGGAGGTGGTGGGGATTTGAGTGTGGGAATGGGAAGAAAAGCCCTTGCAACAGTTCACGGTTTACTGTCCAAACCATTATTTCTGTCTTTGCATCTGCTCTCCATTTCTTTAACGTAGTCCCCTGGACTGCACAAGTTGAAGCATCATATGGCGCACGGATCAAATAATAAGGAAAAGGACAAATGGGCAGAGACGTCGACTCTGATATGCATTAAATATCGTCCGCCCGAGGTCTAAGTGCCGTGGTAATTGTAGCATCCCCGATATCTGTCAGCTAATCGCTTTATTAGCTTGAATTTAGAAAACTGGATTTCAGCGTATTCGAAGTTGGTTAAGAGCAGATCGGTCTTGAATCGAGGAATGTAATTAACCTTGCTGGAAAGCTTCAAGGCGTTCTATTAAGTCATGAAAATAATTTGTCCCGATAATTACATTTGAACTGTCAGGCTGCAGAAAGGTCATCTTCTTTGGTCCGTCAGCACTTTGCCTCCTCCTGCTAGAGCATGTCCCTTTCCATGCCTGCGATTTCCATCAAGCCGCGCTGTTTCCAGATACTCTACAACACAGCCGATGTTCTCAGTAGCGTTGGCAAGCCGGTTACTTGGCCGGTTAAATATTGTCAATTGACCGCATATTTTCTGACCTGTCAAAGATTATAGTCATTTTACAAAAAAAAGCAAACCTACATTTTTTTGTAGTTTTGTTGCTAGAAATATGATTTTTTAAAAAAATATATTTCTGAACCTATTTTTCTGGACCTATTAGCATATTTTTTTCAATTTTTAACTGATACTTGACCGCTCAATTGACCGAACGTTATGTGATGGGTCAAATACCCAACCCTAGTGCTGAGGCATGGGAGGCCCTGAAGTCCTGTCTCCTCTTAACCCTGGAAACCTCTGAAAGAGAGTCCCTTAGAGACCGATCGGGTGGGTTCAGAAACAGGGCAGCCTGCCATCCCATTGGCTGTTTTCACCCGTCCGTGCCACCGTAGCTTCACTTGATGGAAATTACTGAGGATGGTTTCAGGTGCTATAGGGTTCAAGCCAATCAGCATTCAAAAAGGGAATTTGCTGATCCCAGGGGATCAAAAGCATGGCAGCGTTCATGGGTAGGTGAGGTTCTTTGGGTAAATCTGATCTATTTTATAATATTATATATATATGTGTGTGTGTGTGTGTGTGTGTGTGTGTATATGTATATATATATATGTGTGTGTGTGTATATGTATATATTTCCAATAGTTGGAAAATTTCTTTGCAGAGTTCATGACGTTTTCCCCTGGAGGCCGGGGGCTAGGGGTGGGGTAGGAGGAAGAAGATCCGGAGACTCACTTAAGCAAGAGTCACCAGATCACGCTCTGGCCTCTATTGTATGACTTGGGCAACCATCATTTGGGGATTTAACCCCTGAGATCTCTTCTAGCCCCCATGGTCTCTCTCTGCAGATGTGGAAATATCATTGTGAGCAGGAAGGACTTGGCCAAGTGTATTGCAGCCCGTGCACGGTCCCGATGCTGGATAGCACATTCGGTGCCGTTACATTAGGTGTTCTCACGGCAGAGTATCTGAGCATTTACAAATCTTGAATGATTTACCATTTTACAGCTGGGTGGAGAGACCTGGGATCTGATCCCGATCTTAAAATCAGTGGCAAAACTCCTGTTCGTTTCCAGGTATTAGGAACCAGCCCTATGGGCCTTACCCCAAATACCGCAGGAAGTCAGCGGTGAAGCTGGAAACAGAACAAAAGTTTCCAAAGTCCAAGGCTAATGCCCTAAGTACTGACTCCGGGAACAACCTGACATCAGAAATTACCTCTCACTGGGTCCCTTTGAATGAGGGAGGATCTTGCATACAGGCTGTTCACGTAGAGGGGGGTCTTTTCACTGCCTTCAGAAACACGGTTCTCCCTGGGGCTGAGAGCAGATTCAATCCTTTAGAGAAAAAAAATGAAGAATCATTTCTTGCTTGAAATGCAAGGGGTTGGGCTTGAGTGAATTGGCAGAGTTGGC